TATTACCATTATAATACTATTATTTAAAACAGGGAGATTACTCATTGCTAAAAACAATGACATTGAGATTTTGACAGCACCATCTATAGGGAGAATGCTTTCTCATCGATGTTTTGCTTACAGAGCCATCTAGTGTTTGTGACTAAAACTACGTGGCATGCTTGATTGAAGCGGACAAAGAGTTTATACACGACAGAGACAGATGGCTGGCTTTTATTTAAAAATTTCCGCTCTACTGAAGATGTCTAAGTGTAATTTTGCAACTACTTACCTACTTTGTCATGTTACACTACAAACAATAATAATTTAAGGACATAGGGCACCTTTTTGTTGACAGGGTGGAAAATCCCTTCGTATCTTCGGCTCCTCGGGAACGCAGGAGCCAGGAGTATGTGGTGGTTCCAGTAAAAATCACTCCGCTGGCCGGCCGGTCTCAGGCGCCCTAGACCGAGGAGCACCCGGACCATGTTATTTCCTAGTAAGGCCCTATCCCGCGGAAGCCGCGGGCTTCCTCCCGCCTATCGGCCTAATCATTATACTATATTCCGGCCAGATCGCATTCATAGGCCGCCATCCTATCGCTTATAGCAGTTAATTTGCCACCAGAGGTCCAGACTCTCTAGCAGCCTGCAGCCCCATCGACGGTTGGTATCGTCACGGAAGTCCTCTACGCTCGGGATTGGCCCTCTCCCGATTCCGTTCAGCGGTCTCTTTCTGGAGCATAACAGCTTCACAGAAAGATACCACTGCGCCCCAGCCCTCCTCACCCGCCATCAAAGCAGTAATGATTGCTGACAGGGACAGGTCTCGTCCGATTTGGTCGACCAGGACTTCGTGTTCAGATGTAGTAGTAGAACCGGGGCAGTCTTTCAGCGTGTGTTCAGCGGAATCAAAGTCGGCTGCGTACAGCTGGCATTGTGCCGTCTCCTCGCATCCAATCCGATTCAGGTACTCACCGGAGCAGGCAAGCCCAGTGAGCACCTATGTATACCTTACATCCAGAAGAAAGAACCTCCTGTTCCCGATTGTAAAAAGAGATAAGAGTCTAGGTACTAGAAATAAAGTTGGTCAAGTATTAGTTTTGTCATGAGCTTTAAGAGGTTTAGGGTGGTGAAATTGTAGGTATTGTATATAATTATATTAAGCCACTGTTGCCAACGGTTGTATAAATCATTCAGATGGTCACAATACTAATCAACAGATAAAAACATTGACACAATTGCAATTGTAATGGCAATTGTTTATGGCAACAGGGACTACTAGGTCATCTTTAGATGATAACGAATAACGATCGAATAAGTTATCGATATGGTTATAGTCAACATTAAATGATTAATACAAACAGTATCATAATGACTTTTTTTTTTCACAACAAAATATTTACAAACCACAAAAAAAAGTCTGCGCATACCGTGACAAGAAGATATTTAAGTCATATAAGTAACATTTGAAGGTTATTACAGTAAGCAGCTGAGTAAGGCCTGTTTAATTTAGTTAAAATCGATGTATGTATTCAATCACCCAACCCAACATCCGCCATTGGGCCACTACCCGAGAGAGGCATGATCTACCTCACCTGGTCACAGGATTCTATCTTTGCGTTAGGGTGAACCAAACATCGCGATGGCCGGACCATGGATACGACGCTCCACACGCTAGCAGAACGCCTAGTGTGGGTGGAGCAGAGGCGTGACCTCGTGGCGGCCATCGGGGTGGGAGATCTCTCGCGCGGAGCGAGAGTGCGTGGAACTCCGCCGTCTCCTTCTGCGAGCAAGTTATGCTTACGAAGGAGATGGCGGAGGAAGACCGGGAGAGGTTCAGAACCCTCCCGGCTCGCCAGGCCCGAGAACGGGCCAGGTACCGCAGACGGCTCGGGTGCCGGTCCTCCATAAGAGCAGGCCTGAGGGTGACAGGTGAGGCCATCTGTAACTCTAGCAAAAGCAGGCCGGGGTGGGTAAAGGCGCAATGCGCTACGGATCGCGCACGCCTTTCGGTTCAGGAAGGGAACATCTGGGTTCCCACATAGGAGGGGTCGTCTATAAGCCGTAGATGGCCCGATGTACGTCGGGGTACCAGGGCTTTCCTTTCTAGGGTATACCTGGTTCCCCGGCTACTGGTCCCTGGATTCGGCGTGCGGTTTTGGTTGGTTCGAGTCCGACATAATCACCTACTGGTACGTGGTATCCGAGGGGAGTTCCGCACAGATAAAAAAAAGACGTCTGGCACTCGGGGACTGCCGCGTAAAGCTATTGCATAGCATTAGTTACTTAGTATTAATGAACTTTGTATTAAATAATTATCTCAGGAAAACCCTATAGAAATTTGCCCGGCTCCGGAATCGAACCCACTAAGGCAGTGTTTTCAAATTCCACACGAACAAAGTCGCGGGTACCAGCTAAAAAATCTGTAGGGGCCAGATTGTTCATCTCCTTTTCCCGGTTCAGACGAACCCAAACATGGGGTGTCCAAGTACTCCAGGAACCGAGAAAATCAAAGGGGGGATAAATGAAAAAAGTTGAAGTGCCAGATTGTTCGTCATCATCGATAGATGGCAAAACTAAAAAGTATCACCGCTGTGCCGGTCGGAGTGGGAGGTGTTAGGTTATTTTCGTTACGGAATTTCTGGATTCGGTCTCCACGCTCAAGGCCCGCGATAGAAGCTATGCAATAGCTTAAAAAGAAAAAAATAGTGTCTTTGTGTATTAAGGAAGCGTTCCGAGCTCTTTGAATTTTTTGCCCCACGATTCTAAGCAGAGTACGCCCAGAGTCTTGCAGAATTTATCACGAACGAACAAAGTCCATGACAGTGGTCTATAAATAGCAGTGGTTGGCAGTCACTGCTTACACAATCTCTTGATCGATTGCTTACTCAGAAGTGGTAAGTAACCATCGGATCAGAAAACATACCGTGCCGACTTAATAGTTTCGTCTTACTTTTGTTGGGTTATTTTCTAGTGGATTATTTACTGTAAAAAAGTACTATGCCATTCACATTTAATTGATAATACATAAACCTACCTACCTTATGTCAATGTTATGTTGTGTGTAAGAGTTACGGGGATTTTAAAACAGTATAATTTTTGTTGAAACAGTTTGAGGCACAATTAACCAAAGACCAGTATGTCGAAGCAAATTGGGATAAAGTTTATAGTTCTATAACCTAAATCTTTTGTAGAGAGCTTTAATAAATACAATAAGACTTTATATCTATAATACATTTTGCCCACGGCTGCACACCCGTAAATGTAAATTTTGTTAAAAAAATTGGCAATAAATAGTAGCCTCTATGCTATTCTAGACTATAATTTAACTATGTGCCAAATCTCATCCAGATCCAGAAAGCCATTTTGGCATGATTGAGTAACAAAAATACTTACGTTTAGATAAGTTAAAAAAATAGGTGTCTTACCATATTTTTTTTGATATAGAACATAATTATACTGAGAGTTTGAAAAAAATTGTTCCCCATACAAAATTGCACCTTTTCTTAAGGGGTTGTTTTGAAAAATTAGTAACAACGTTTTTATAACTTTTAATACAGAGTATTTACTGCTGGTTTAAAAACGCTAGTAACAAAAATAACGAAGATTCAGACCCTAAACCTATACCTGGGTCAAAATTCCAAGGCGTTGTCGAAGTGGCATGTGTTGCCCCCACTTATCACGCGATGGACCCGGCACCCACACGGTGAATCCATGGAACGCTAAGAAAGTGGTCTAAATTTTCAACCCCTATTTTTTAGTGTACACCTACGTCACCTAAGAAACATTTGGGTAATATTTCATGACATTAATCGATCAGTCATTGAATCAGTCTGTCAGTTTCTTCTTTTATAGATATAGATTATATAATTACAACTAAAAACTATGTAAATTGTACTAAAAACTATGTGACCATTTTAGTCTCAGGGGTCTACGAAACGGTATATTTTTAAGAAATGAAATCATCTAATAAAAGGAATGTTTGTAAGCGTGGGAAGTTATAAGATTAAGAGTACATACTCGTAGTTAAATTAATTGAACTCTCCGTGCTATGCGCTGTATCTGTCGTATCATTCAACGTCCTTGCTCCTTAAGAGATACATCGTTTTAAAATATACTCAAAGACTAAGATCAACAATGTTAACTATTAACTGTTTGAACTCAATAATTGATCAAACGCGTATAACATATACATAATTAAGTGGGAACAATATTATTTAACAAGTAAATTGATTAAGTTAGAAAAGCCATTAGAACATTACTTTATTCTTCAAATCGATGTTATGAACGAAATGAAGATAGGTGTAAAAATCTCTTAAATCGATTAAGCGCTTAGCTCTTTTAGTATTTACATATTATCGTGATTTTATTTTGAATATGTATTTTCCATACAAAATAATATACCTGTATAAAAATCTGTAAATACCTGTAAAATATCTGAATCTATATTTTTCTATCCTTGCAAGTCTAAAGACGAAATAATTTACCTTAACACTATTACTTCTAAGTCAGTATTTCAATATCGATCCAGAAGCAGTCGAAAGTTCATTCTGTCAAGGCATAATTATTAGGTCTATTTAGTTTAATGTTTGAGGTCGTTAAATTATAGGTGGACAAGTGCGTCGACAGGTAGGGGCTTAGTTAGTCCTTAATAGCTGTAGCACCCAAACGTAGCGTCCTCGTCCTCGTAGCGCGTGCGCTAACAGGCGGATGTGCGCGACTCAGTTCATGAGTAGCTTTGGCTGCGTACGCGCACCGCACTAACCGCACTTGCCGCGTTTTTCGATTTCAAACCAATATGACGAGGTTTGACATAGACCTGATCGTACGGCAGCTTTTTGTTAATATTTAGAGACTGAATGGTTGAATTTATAATTTATTTTTAAAGGACTACGTCAAGCATATTAATTATATAATAAATGTGACATTAAAAAAATACAATTGTAAAAAAAGATGTGTGACTCGTGTGAAGGTGCCCAGGAGTGAATTCAGCGACGATTGCGGTGGCCGGTGGGCACAATGAGTGCTCGACTGAATTGGCACAAATGGCTAGTGTTGTCGCTGCTCGGATTGGCTTTGTCCGCTCGGACAATTGGCTGCGATTATAGTTCCATCACTGAGAAATTTGGAGCGGAAGCCGTGGTTCGATGTTATGAAAAATGCCCATTCCAGGTTCGTTTAACTAATCCACATTGTTTATAAATACAAATATTCTATGTAAACATGTCAATTTGACACTATTCGTTGACTAGCTTTGGTAAGAGGTAATTCGCGTGTTCATGGATAAAGATAGCAATTTAAGTTTATTGGTCGAGGATAAAACGATGATCTTAGTTTATTATGTAGTTTATTTGCGGCGGCAGTCGTGTAGGTTCAACGCACATCTAAGTAATTGTCGACAATTAGCGAATCACTATAATCAACGCAAACATGCTAAATATAGACCTAACGTTACCAAACGTGAAGTTGTGGACGCATAATCCCTCGTACTTTTTAATTATTGTAAGAATAATCAAGGGCCCTATTAACAGAAACTTAAATCGAGAAGTGAATAAAGGCACCTATCTAAACCATTCATTTATGCTATGAATATAGTACCTCACAAATTCAAAGTATTAATTACCTCACAACTCTAACGAGTAAATAATTAAAAATTGTAATTCCAAAACACAATTTAAAAAGCCGCCAAAGTATGGTGATTAGTGTACGATATTAATCGAGTACTTATGAGTAAGTGTCGTTACAGAGTTTTCGCGATGAAAGATCTCTCTGACATCTGCATGATGATTATGAAAGTTAATAATATAATAAATCAATCGTAAAAAAATTGTATCCCGCACCACCGATACAATTGTGATTGGCTTTTTGGCTTCAAGACTTAATATTTTTTATGATGTGCAATGGGGCAAAGGAGTGCACGGATCACCTCATGGAAAGTGACAAAAAAATCTCCTTAGTAAAGAAACCCGTATAAGATAGAGGTTTTAATATTAAATTATGACTCTTTATAAAAGAAATTGAAAAATAATTATATTTGTATTGAGACTCCAAATGACGGATATGTGTAACGATATCCTCATAGTATGAAAAAAGATTGGGGATTGTATCTAAAACAACCGAAATGTGAAAACCGCGGATGGATCACATTTCGAACCGAAGCCAGATAGGTGCTACGGCAGTCGATTCCGGTCACACGCTCGCAAAAACTTTCTGTAAATAGGTACTATGTGTATGGTGAAATGTTATTTTGTTTATGAATTTATACTTCATAGGCCAAATTCCTTATTAAAATCATTACATTACTTTAAATGTTTATTTGTCTTCCCTACGTCTATTAACAAAAGAAATTCTAACATTAAGATATATTTGTATAGTTGACTTAAAAGCAATAATAAAAATATCGAAGTTAAACTCACATTTAAATATTTTTTATATTTAAACTTAAAGTGTTAAAACGATCGATAGATTTCAAACTGTAAGTACTAGAAATCTAAGAAAAATTTTCAGTAGAATAATGTTGTTAGTAACTAAAGATGTGCTGTTATGACCTGAATGCAGATCTTTTCGATAAGTTGTACCGTCTTCTTAATAACTGCATTCGATACATCTTTAACCTCCGTAAATATGATCATGTGTCAACTTTCCGTTCGCAGCTTAACTGGTTACCCATTCGTCTACGTCGTAAATTACGCGCTGTCACTGTCTTATTCACTATTTTTAATAACCCATCTTCGCCAACGTATCTAGCTACCTATTTCCAACTCTTATGGAGTAATCACGACAGAAACCTTAGGTCCTCCAATAACCTTCTTCTTCGTTGTCCCTCTCACACGTCTGAGTTCGTTGGCTCATCCTTTTTCGTTCAGTTCGTTCTTTTTTGGAATGCGCTTCCACTCGACATCAGGATGGCTACCAATACTTTTCCCTTTAAAGTAAAAGTAAAGCAGTATCTGGTCAAATAACTGGCAGAATCAACTTGCTCATGATTTCTTTTTATTTTAATACAAAATAGTTATCAGTATCTATTTGCGTGTGTATGTATGTATTTTTATACTGTATTTATGTATTATAAGGTATGTACTTATGTGTAATATTAATATGTATAGGTGTAGTATATGACAGATTTTACGTGAGTGAAAGCCAAACGCCCGAATGGGATATATCCAGTAAGGCAAAGGTTAGAGACTTCCAGTTTGAAAAACCGACCAATATCCATGAAATGAACGAAACGAAGATTATTTTTGAGTTACTTTTGAGGTTCTAATAATTTATCAAGGGAGCATGATTTAATATAGGATGTTTCCAACTCCTCCAATTTACTTTTTATTAATATCGTTGAGGGTTTCAAGATAGTTTATTTTGTACTAGGACCTCCCGAGTGTCGTAGCTCGGTTTGTTTGTGGGTCACTGCTGTGGATCTTAGTGTACTGCAGTTACAGTGATGGGCGTGTGGGAGAGATTAGTCTCGGAGAAAAAGGTAACATGAATGTAAATGTATCAAAATAAGAATTCTTTAGTCCAGATATCTAAGGTTTGCTTGGCATATTTCAAACCGAAAAATTCATTAACTTACTGTTTATTATATGTACTTGCATGTCGTCCTACAAAAATGTCATCTCTTTTTATTGTTATTTTTAAAGACTAAACTTAATACATATAATTATTAGGTTTGCATTTTTCTTCACTATGTTATGTGTATGTGAATTACCCTGGCTTTTGGTGCAATGCTCCCGAATAGTTTCGCTTTCGTTCGCTTTTTAAGATATTAAATTAACAAATATTAGGTACAGTTATTTGTAAGAAAAATTCGGTTACCCACACCAAATTATAATATGTATAATAATGATAATTAATGGTATTCAAATCTGTCTTAGGGTTGTTTACTTGTCTACACCTATTTCCTATGCCCTGAACTAAATTACTGTTACATGATGATAATTGTCATGATATCTCAGTAAAAACATTTATGAATCAATCAAACCTCAACTACCGAAGCGCAGGTACGTTTAATGACGATGGTCACGCGTGGCCGAGCTTGCGCCGACCGTGTCGCAACGGAAGTTATCAGGATTGTGAGTTCGTACATCCCACCCTACTAAATATCCGCTCCTTAATAAGTGGTTTGATCATATTTTTTTCTTCCAGAACCGAACCGGCGACGGTCATTTTGATGTGAGTTGCGGATCCGAATGCAGCGTGCAACAAGTAAGTAATCAGATCATCATCATATCGATGCCATTGTCATAGATTACATAAATCTGACACAGGCATTATCTACGAAGTAACAATCAAAGCATGCTTATTTTAAACTTAAAAAATAGTTTCATCGACTCACTGTTCAAGTTACCTAGACCATGTCGCTTACCAATTTTTTATTACCATACCACCACCACACAGACACCACATAAAGCTTACATGTTATCGATCGTTCACACACACCCAGTCTTATGTAGAACTAAAATGTGATATTATGTTAATGACATTCTTCTACGAGGTATTCCCTCTACTGTACTAAATAGTACGTATTTAATCATACGATGTGATTCGAGAAAATTGACTTCTTATTTTATCTCAGTGCACTTATCTATCGTATACGCAAAAGTTTGTGAGGGCAGATGGCCGAATGTTTCTCGCTACCGGCCGTAATTCGCTCCATGGCCGGTAGCGACAGGTGTTTTACCACGGTCGCAACCTTCTGCGAGGAGGTAATCTCGCAGAAGGAGGCGGCGGAGAAGGCCCGGGAGGACGACCTCCACTCGGACCTGATCCGCCGCCGGCGAACCGAAAAAATTTTGAGACGGGGCCCGCAATAGGAGCGGGCCGGCGCTAGGAGGGGTCCAGAAGGCGATAACTACCTGGACCCCTCCTAAGGGGCACACCGTGTGGTTTTATTTAGTCGGTTCGAGTCCGACACACCACCCCGCCGCAAACCCGCAAAAAAAAAAAAAAAAAACACTTAATGATTTAAAGAAACAGTTTTGAAAATTTGTTATGGGAAATGTTGGTGTGTGTCTACTGGACACAAATAGCGGATTTCTAGGCGTTCTTTTCTGGGTAAACATTAAGTTGTAACCCATCACCTATAGCCATGATTACTGGATCTGTTGGATTCAAGAAGACTATTTTTATAAATCTCTGCCAGCATTTTATGTTAAATAATTATCTTGCATTGTAGTATGTCAAAACATTTAAAAAATGATCGACCAATACTACGCAAGTGATCGTAAACTACAGAGAACCGATAACTCAGTTTACTGTAAAGTTATTTATTATTTATATTTTTGTAGTCTCAATATTGGGTAACAAGTTTTTACGATTCTGTGACGGAAATCGTAACGTACAGTAATTTAAATATTGTTTTGTCAATATAATTTTTAACGTTTAGATAGGGGTTCTTGTGGGTAATCATAATAACAAAAAAAGTTAAAATAATTTATAGATCATTTATAATTACTCTGCGATAACGAAATCACAGTATTTCACCTATAACCTTATGCGAGATATAAGTTATTTAATGAATACTGTTTCCAAAACATCGTTTATTTAATAATAAACAATACATTGCAATTTTGTTTGTCTATTATACGATCAAAAACTAATTATAATATACATGTAGGTACAGTTTTCGTGACTTACGATAAACATTACCTTTTATTAGACATTAATAAAATTGTTATTTTGCTTGTACGAGATTAGATAGAAATGATAGTCACATTGCTATGGCATATACATAAACATGTGCTGAGTGCCGACCTATTATATCTTAAACACGAAAACTTACATCTGTCTCAAGCTACGGACTATCAGAATCCACAACCCTTGTGCTAGATATATATCAGAACATCGAGCGTAATACTTAACCATGTACAGAAATATAATCTTGAACTTTCTCATCGAAATCAGATAAAATGTTCTGATGTGTATGTTTTCGAATATAGACTATCTACGCCTTCTACTTGATAATCTTTAGTGTATTCAGCAGGCGCAATAAAACTAACAGCAGGTTAAAGTTACAAAAGAGTATTTGTTAACAAAATTCATTGAAAGCAGCTAGACCGTGCCCCGCAATGCTCGTGGACAAAACCGGTTGCCGTGGACACTATCCTAGTTCTATTGTTGTTTAAATAACTTTATTTACATAATATGTAGACAATAACAGTAAGTACTATACCTAAGCAAAATGCGCTGCATATATTTGTTCGTTAGATAAATTTTATACTTTGGTGCTTATAGAGATCAACTGTTATACCATATATAATATATATAGTACCTAATCTTAGTAGTTGCGGTAGTGACAGCGGAAACTTGCACCTTTTTGTACACAACACAAGAAACGTTTCAAATAACTAAGTAAAAATTAGAAAAGAGTGATTTCACTTTGTGATCCATACACGAAAAAACAAAACTGGGTAAATTTATTGCATAAAACCGAAGATTCTTTTCAATTTAACTACAATTCCCAGACATTTCTAAGGAAGTGTTATCGATCATAACGATGTGAACTAAAACCGACATAAAACGGCATGTAGCCTCAAAACCTTGACAGTTACTACTGGTTTATATCAAAATTATCAGTTATGTCCAATTTACGCCCCTTGTGCAGCGCAAAAAATGTTCAAGTGGTAGCGGCGTATGCGCACCCCTCGAACCGAAACGTAGTCAATTGACTTGCCTCCATTTATTATTATTTGTTTCCATTCTATTAACATAACTGAGTAATGTGTAGCATTGTTATGGTTCTTTTATGTGTATCTAAATACTGCACATTGAACTCTACAAAGCTGTTTTTATTTTAATTTTTTTCTAAGTTATTCCTAATTTATTGCTTACTTATTTTAAGTGAAATAAGTAACAAATAAATACTACTACTGAACTGGAAAATAGTGATGATAATTAATCTAACTTATTTTAAAACTAAAAACACAGTTCTGTGAATCATAATGTACATCGAGATTTGATAACTGACTGACTTGATCAGTCTATTTAAGACTAAGTAGCGTTTTTATATTTAGCTCGACTTAGAATACCATTTCTCCATCGTTATCGCCGAAGGCAAAGAAAAAACAAGAAATATTGTGGTGTATTGAAGCAGCATTCACACTTTAAAAATGCATGGAAACTTTATTAACTGTTTCGGTAAAGTGGCTCGTAAAAGGGAGCAGCTTTGTTGTACGTCAATCGTCAGGTCGCGAGGTGTGGCATCGAATGCAAAGCCTGTTCGTTTATTTATCTACTACTAAACAAACTTATTACGTTATACTCGTAAGTTCTTAACTTACACGATCATTTCATCACTATGACGTATTGTTTACGTTCTAGAGTTTCAATGAAAATGTTCCTAGTTTTATTCACCAGAACATAATAGAAGCTCTCCTAGAAAGATCTCCTTTGAAATTCTTTCATTTGTAGTTCTTTGAGAGAGAAGTCAGGTTTTGGGGGTAATGTAAGTATAGGATACTGGAAGACAGTACTAATAATTATAGATTTCTGATATACTTCGTAGTTTAATAAGAATAAAATTAGACTAATGTGCTAAAGTCTAGGTTGGTTTCCCTAACGTATACTTGAATGTTTGTTTTAGCGTTTTCGTACCTGTTTTCTTTTTCCATTTCGATAGTCAGGATTAGCACTCAGGATACTCAGCATAAGCATCATTATGTGTCAGGTAGTCGATTTAAAAAACGTTGCCTCTTTGTGTAGATCTTAATTTAAATCGTACTGTGATGAAACAAGAGGGACTTAATTATTTAAATCGAAAAATGGTTAAAATTATAATATTTTTTCTTGTAGGGTAATGTGACCATGTTACAAGTCTTGAATGTTAAGAAATATAATGTAACTAAATGTTGTGGATGTAGTTTGGTGGCCATCTACCACAGTCCATAACTCGGGTGGCGACCTGCAGCGCACACGCGCAGGGGTCTCGTGAGATTCAACACCGGATGGACGCAGGAAGGAAGCTTCTAGTTGGCAGGCTGCTCCCCTCGGATCTATTTTAGAGTTCATTCGTTTTATTCTATAATTTCACCCAATAAGTTTTTTAATACATAGAGCGGCTTGAACTTGGTTATGTGCTCTGCATCCTATCACTGTGCGATTTACTTGTCGCTGGCTGGAAATATCAAGTGAGTTGGGAGTTTGAAGAGAATATTCATGCTAAGTTTTCATATTCATGGTTAAATATTAAGACATAGTTACATAGTTAGTTAACTAACGCTATCTCCTGGGACAGCCAAGAAGCTATACATTTTAAACTAATTCGGAATAGCATTTGCCTCTGACGTTTTATATACTATATTTCCTTTAATTTAACTAAATTATTCCGTTATAACTGAATCATATGGAATAGGCATAACTTCTTAAATTTTAAAAACTCCATTAGAAGTTAAGAACGATACCTATGATAGTCACCCACTAATTGCAAAATGTCGTAGGAGTATAGCAGTATAGCAGCAAAGTATCAAATCATACATTATCATTTCTTCATAAGCTGACAGAAAATGTTTTATGAAAATAACGTGATAAAATAATTTGGAACTGATCAATTTGTGCACTGCTTAAATGTAACAAAAATACTTTTTCGTTTCTATTGTAAGTACTATATTAACTGGAATATAAGAAAATGTCTTCGATATGCATAGGTACCTAATACGAGTACGTAGGTCATTATATAAGTTTTGAGGCTCCGTCTAGTTTGGGACCCAAACTAGACAGTGCCTGTACTATGGTAACGAGACTGCTGAGAAACATACTTCTATTTCTAAATACATACATATTATATACAAAGTATACCCAGGCACAGAAGAAATAACCGTGCTCATCACACAATTATTTGACCTGGGTGGGGATCGAACCCACAACCTCTGACGTAGCAGTCAGGGTCACTAACCACTAGACCAATAAGCCAGGCCAATGTATGGGTATTGAATGGGTAGTAGTCAATTCGGTCCCCTATACGCGCTCCGCTGCGTCAAGTTCGGAAATGAACAATCACCTATCGGAAGTGAATGTAGTAGGTACCTGTGATTATTGTATAATTTATGTGTGAAACTATTTCACCATATTTATCGAAATTAGTTACAATGACTCTAGCTAAAGATGTGATATGACCAGAAAAAATAATTAACTGAATAATTGTAGACAGATTTACGTATCTACAGGTATAAAAACCTACTGAAACTCGAATTTTCCAGATGGATATGCGC